CCCAGGGGGAGTCCCCGAATTGGATAAAAATCTTCTACAAAGAAGAGAAATGTTGACTGAGATGAGAACCCAAAGACGGGGTTTTGCTGAGGGAGGAAGAGCTGGCAGAAGGGGAGTGGTCAATTGGCGTAGAAGGGAGTCCAGATGGGAGGTGTTAACCCCAGAAACCTGGGGGAAGGAACCCATAGCAGGGAAGGGCGGAACCAGGCCCACCAGGGTGGGCTGGAGAAACTCTGTAAAGTGGGTAGGCGGGCTGTTAGTTCCTAAAGAGTCCCATCCAGGTGGAGTGGTGGAAAATGAAACTCCCCTGGAAAAGAGCTGAAAGAGGGAAATGAGATAAAATAAAACATAGGCCAAGAAGTTAGATTACTTAGATTTCTTTCCAGGAATTTTTCAATGAAGGGAAACAGGACAGTAACTGAAGGGGACATTAGGCCGCCGCGCGGCTCACTAGGCTAATCCTCCGCCTAGCGGCGCCGGCACACCGGGTTCTAGTCCCGGTCGGGGCGCCGGATTCTGTCCCGGTTGCCCCTCTTCCAGGCCAGCCCTCTGCTGTGGCCAGGGAGTGCAGTGGAGGATGGCCCAGGTGCTTGGGCCCTGCACCCCATGGGAGACCAGGAAAAGCACCTGGCTCCTGGCTCCTGCCATCGGATCAGCGCGGTGCGCCGGCCGCAGCGCGCTGGCTGTGGCGGCCATTGGAGGGTGAACCAACGGCAAAAGGAAGACCTTTCTCTCTGTCTCTCTCTCTCACTGTCCACTCTGCCTGTAAAAAATAAAAAATAAAAAAATTTAAAAAAAAAATCCTTAAAAGGGGGGGGCCAGCGGGGAGAGTAACGCATTAAAAAACAAATTAAATTAAAAGCAATTAAAAAGTGTACCTATGACTGATTTGATAAGATTAAGATGACATGCAAAAAAAATTTGTGTAAGTAGTGAAAGTACTAGGCATTACTAGATTGTGTGCATGTACACACACACACACGCATATTTGTTGTAAATTTAAATAAGAAAGTTTCCAGGTAACATCTTACTTAAAAACAAGTCAGTAATGCTAAACCAGTAGCAAGAGACAAAGTTATAGCAAAAGATCTAAATTCAAATGAAATCTCTCTATAAATAATCTTTAAATTTTAAGTTTTAGATCCAAATATATATTTTATTAACTTTCAAAATTCCAAATGAAGAAAAATAAGTAACATACTCCTAACAATTTTGAAAAGTAAAGTATTTCCAAGTCTTAAATAAAAACAAACTCCTCCTTCCTGCAAGCCCCAATTCCAAATACTTAACTGGGTTCCAATTCAATTTAGCTCATTAAGGCCAGATCGAAAATGAGTTACCTGAAAACTGAAACTCACTTCAGTACACAGGCTCCTCTATCAGCCAGATATTCGTCACATACACTGTCTTCAAAGCCTATGCCGAAAAATTTCAAAACTAAAATTATTCCCTTCTTAAGAAAGCACAGGACACGGTGCCAGCATTGTGGCACAGTAGTTTAGGTTAAATCACTGCTTCCGACGCCAGCATCCCATGTTGGAGTGATGGTCTGAGATCCAGCTACTCCACTTCCCATCCAGCTAACTGTTAATACGCCTGGAAAGCAACAGCAGATGGCCCAAGTATCTGGGCCCCTACCACCTATGTGAGAGCCAGAGTGTGAGTTCCTGGCTCAGCCTAGCCTGGTATTGGCTGTTGTGGCCATTTGGAGAGTGAACCAGTGGATGGAAGATCTCTCTGTCCCTCCTTTGTCATTCTACCTTCAAATAAATATTTTTTACAGGCAGAGTTAGAGAGTGAGAGAGAAAGACAGAGAGAAAGGTCTTCCTTCCGTTGATTCACCCCCCAAATGGCTACTATGGCCGGTGTGCTGTGCTGATCCGATGGCAGGAGCCAGGTGCTTCTCCTGGTCTCCCATGCGGTGCAGGGGCCCAAGCACTTGGGCCATCCTACACTGCCTTCCCAGGCCACAGCAGAGAGCTGGACTGGAAGAGGAGCTACCAGGACAGAATCCGGCGCCCCAACCGGGACTAGAACCTGGGGTGCCAGTGCTGCAGGCGGAGGACTAGCCAAGTGAGCCGCGGCACCGGCCAATAATTTTTTTAAAGATTTATTTATTTGAGAGGCAGAGTTACACAGAGAGAGAACAAGAGACAGAGATCTTCCATCCACTAGTGCACTCCCTAAATGGCGGCAAGGACCATGGCTGGGCCAGGCCAAAGGCAGGAGCTTCATTCAGGTCTCCCACATGGGTGCAGTGGTTCAAGCACTTGGGCCATCCTCCGCTGCCTTCCCAGACCATTAGCAGGGAGCTGGATCAGAAGTGGAGCAGCTGGGATTCTGAACAGCAGTCCTACAGGCTATGGCTTTAACCCACTTGAGCCACAGTGGCAGGCCCCAAATAAATAAATAAAACCAAAAAAAAAAAAAAGATCAGGACACGCACATCCTTGGGAGAAACATTTAAGAAATCTAAAAAAAGGAAATAAAAAAAAGGGGAGGGAAGGGAAGGGAAGAGAGGAGGGAAGGGGAGGGGAGGGGAGGGGAGGGGAGGGGAGGGGAGGGGAGGGGAGGGGAAGGGAAGGGAAGGGAGGGGAGGGGAGGGGAGGGGAAGGGAGGGGAGGGGAGGGGAGGGGAGGGGAGGGGAGGGGAGGGGAGAACACAGTTGTTAACAAATGGTGGGGGTAGGACCCTCCCTGCCGGCATTGTGGCATAGCTGGTAAAACTGCCGCCTGCAACGCCAGCATCCCTTTGTGCAGCGGTTTGTGTCCCAGCTGCTCCAATTCTGATCCAGCTCTGCTAATGGCCCAAGTGTTTGAGCCCCTGTACCCACATGGGAGACCCAGATGAAACTCCTGGCTTCCACCTGGCTCAGCCGTCTGGTGGGGGGTGGGGGAGGAGTGAACCTGCAGATAGAATCTCTCTTCCTCTGTCTTTCCCTCTCTATAGCCCTTACAAAATAAATAATTTTTTAAAAAACTATAAAATACTAGCATAAGCAGTTGACACTGTAAATATCAAAATCAACTTGATATATTTGGCTGACTTCAAAAAGATAAAAAGGTTGGGTCAAAATTCTTACAATCTACCACCTGCTCACAAGGTGCTATTCCCTACAAGTCTTCCCTCTCTTTGCCTACCTTTTTATTTTGTATCTCTACTCTCATTTTTGGAAAAAAAGCAACGAAATCAGTTACTGGGGCAGGCGCTGTGATGCACTGCCTGGGATGCGGGCATCCCCCGTGGGCACTGGTTCGTGTCCCTGCTGCTCCACTTCCAATCCAGCTTAACGTTAGTGCGCCTGAGAAAGCAGTGGAGGATGGCCCAAGTACTTGCGCCCCTGCCTCTCACATAGGAGACCTGGATGGAATTCCAGGCATCCAGCCCTGGCCATTGCAGCCATTTGGGGAGTGAACCAAGGCATTTCTCTAACTCTGCCTTTCAAATAAATGAATCTTAAAAAAAAAAAAAAAATCAGCAGTTAAGATCAGAGATCTACCACCTCACCAGTCAGCACTGGGGGTACCCTAACACTCAGCTTTTCAGGACATTCCATTTACTCAAATTAACTAAGAGCTAACTGGTTTTTGCTGACATACAGGTTACCTCACAGGGAGAAATAAACACATTTGTCCAAGAACACAAGAACTTCACAAACTGGGAGTTCATGCAGACTGCAATCAACACTCAAGGCTAAGACTTTAAAAGTAAAGGCTTCACTTTGGACCACCTGAAACCTCCAGGACAAGTTTGTACTTTCCACATATATTTTATGCTTAAAGGGATTGAAGCAGTGACCAGATCCCATCAAAACACAAGTGCATTTTGAAATAAATCCCTTCTTGTCCCAGGTTCACAAGAGACACTCCCAGTGAGCAGTGTACAGGCTGCACCAATTACCAGGAAAGGAAAGCAGAGATGTTATTGTTGCTTCAGTATAACTCTTTGTGACTGCCGATGGTCCAGCCTACATTTAAGAGAGGACAGAGGAAACCAGAGCAGCAGGAAACAGCCAGAGAGGCAATTATCACAACCCTTCCCCACGGCTTCATTCTCTCCCAACTTCCAGCCACATTTCAATCACAACAAAACCTCCCTTCTCGGAAACATTTCATAATTACTGAGGGGCAGAGGGGCACAGGCTTCCTCAGAGGAAGCAAACTGAGGAAATCAGAGCTGTGGGAAACAAGCAGCACAGGAGGGAGGAAAAATCTCTCATTACACGTGTGAATCAGCCCAAGTAGGAAAAACCAGACCACACCGGCAGCCATCGCCTTTACCTAAAAGCCTCCACAGCAAGAGAAATATGACCTGACCTACGGGCCCTGCTGGCAGGTGTACTGCAAGACCCCATGGCCTCCAGGGAGTGGATTTTATTCTCTTTCCTTAGATGGGGACCATACCAATGTACCCACCCAACATCTAAGATACAAAAAGAGCTTAACTATGATGTTCATCTTCCCTCCACCTTCACTTGACAAACTGACACTAAAAAACACTGCACAATTCACAGCAAACAGTGAGTGCCTACCCCTTGGTTCAAAGAGTGCAACCACTGTGGAAAAGAAAATAGAGCCATTTTCACCCAAAGTTAACTATATGCCCTTCAAATAAAAGATGATCTTTGGCTATCTCACCGAGATCTTAAAAAGCTCTCACCTATTTGGAAACACAGGTGCTGGAGAAAGCCAGCAAGCCTGAATACCAGAGCATATACCTTGTATATGCAGTAGAAACAATATCCAAAGAGGTAGCAGTAAACTACAGGATTATGCCAAACAGGAAGTAACAGGAATGACGATGGAATAAACCTCCAGAGAGAACATACGACTAGAGTGGCAACAGTTGAGATGCCTGGGCAACCAACTAGATCGAAAACTCGGGGGAGAAAGTAGGAAGCTAAGTGGCAACGTGATTCAGAAGCGAAGAAAACTGAGCTGTAACGCAGCCACGAACGAATGACATTCTGACTACATAGCACAGTGCTTTACAGTTCACAAAGCGCTCTCGAAGCGACATGAAATCAGCGGCGACACAACCCGACGACGGAACAGTGAGGAGGAAAACGCGGTCCCAGCTGAGACCAGAGCCCTCCAGAAGGAAAAGCAAGTCCGGTTTCGGATAAGCCGGGGACGAGCTGGAGAGCGCAGAAGTTGGTCTCCAAGAGCACCAGTCCCAGGACTGGCGTCGGCCGGGCAGACGGAAGGGTGGTCAGGACGGGAGCGACAGCGTGGCGGGGGAGCTCGGCCGGGCAGACTGGGACCGAGGTGAGAGAAAACCACACCCTCCCGGACAGAAACCCGAGGGGGGAGGGGAAGGCGCCCCCTGAGGCTGGGTGGGGCCGGCGGACGACAGCGGGGAAGGCAGGAAGGAGCACAGGGCAAGCCGAGGGGGGCAGGAAGGAGTGAGCCCAGGCCTGGACAGACTAAGGAAGCGTGAAGCCAGCGAGGAAAGCTTGGCCCCGTCCCCATGGGTGGGCGATAGGGCAGTCTGCAGGAGTTGGGAGGTTCGAAACGCTGAACCCAGAACCAGAAAGCACACAGCGCAGCACTCAAGGCTCTGGAGGAGGGAGGGAGGGGGAGAGGGTGACAATTACCGCTGCTATTCCCGCTGGACTCGGGACTCGCCGCCGCCGCCGCCGCTCGTTACCTGCCAATGTGCCTCTTACAAAGCGGCGGCGGCGGCAGAGGCGGCCCGGCCCGTCACGTGACCTTCACGTCACCCGAGGAGGAGGAGCTACTAAGCGTCGCTCGCGCAAGGTTCCCAGCCTGCCCAGGGAGCGCGCCGCATCCCAAACAGGCGAGGTCGGCAGGGCAAAGGCGGAGGGAGACAGTGGAAGGAGCAAATAAAGGACACTTTATGGCATCCTGGCATTTCCCATCTAGGGGTGATCAGGGGCGTATTCGCCACCACACCCAAAGTACCCACAACTGCAGCTCATTGTCGCTCTGTGATGACCTCACAAGCTCTACCCTTGAGGCCGCCTTCCTATCGTCACGTGATGCGGTCCAACCACTCAAGGCAAGCCTGGTTTCCCAAATGTTGCGCGAGGAACTACGACTCCCAGCATGCTGCGTAACAGAGGCAGCCACTACCGCAGCCTCTCCCCCGCACAGACGCAACGCCGGTGACTTTAGTGCGGCGGCAAGGCCCGGAAGGCAAGCGGACACGGTTACTTTCTGGGACTAACTCCACTGGGTACCTGCTGCCTGCTGGCGGAGCGCAGCTCCTGCTGGGAGGTGTAGTCCGGGCAGGCGGTGGGAGGGTTCCAGTACCACGTTACGGGGCTCGCGCTGCGCCCCGCCCCGCCCCATGCGCGGGAAAACACCAACGGCTCGCAGCGGCATCCGCGGCACGGAGAACCTCCGCCAGACGGAAGGGCCTTTCCACTTGAGTCGCGTTCAATGTGGGTCGAGTTAGGGATTCCCGAGCCCCTTCTGCTGTCAGCCGGTTATACAGCCATTTTTATCGTATCATATATAGTCAACCCCTTGAGGCTGGGGTTGGCCCGGTTTTGAAGATAAGGAGATAGGCTTAGGGAGTTTCCTGGCAGAGGAGACCCAGATCAGGTTTTCTATCTCGGAAAATTGTAGTGACCCACCTTTCGAGATGACCTGTTATTTACATCAGGAATTAAGCGTAAGTGAGATAATGGTTTCTAATGGCATTACAATGTCCTAGAGATTAAAGTGTTTCACCATTTACTCACCTGTTCGGCCCAGTAAGGTAGTATCCCAAGCTAATGAGACACGGACTTGGGATTCTGGTGGGCTTTACCCTTATTTGAGCTTTCCCTCTGTGGTTACACCATTTAACTGGATTGGACAAAACCAAGTGATATTAAGTAAAATATCAGTTTGGCAAATAGAAAATTCACCATAAATATTAGTAGTTTTTTTTTTCCCACCCTGTCTGTACCCTTTGGGCCCAAGAGGTTTAAGTAGATAGGAAATGAGCTTATGCTGAGCTTAGTGTAGGGCACTAAGCTAATTACTAACTTGCTGGTTACTAATAGACTCCTACGTTAAATTACTGGGTGTCAAACAATTGGAACCTTCAACAGTCCTGCCCAGTACAAGGGGAGCCTTTGTTACTGGTCTGCAATCAAAGAATGCTCAGGTTGTGCCTTTAACAAATAGAACTCACCATTGTGACCATTCCTGTGCAAATGTATCTTATCTCTGCATTTTCTGCAGGGAGCTTTGAATGTATCTGTTCTGTTCCTTCTTCCTCCTGTTTGTATACTGCTTTATGGAAATGTGTGGGAGCCTCAAAGATAAAAACCACCCTTGAGAGTCAGAGACTTAATGAACAGGATTCTGAAAGGCTATGTATGAAAATCAGGTATGGCAGTGGCTGGCTCTGAAGGGTGAGAAAGAGGTTTGTGCTTGAGGATGCTGGTGAGCAGGGTCTATAGTCCAATTGTTTGCTTTTTTTTTTTTTTAACTTGGAGAAAGTGCTGGTATCTTACTAATTAAAGATTAACCTCAAGGGAGCCCAGAGACCATGTATTAGCTCTGTGACCTTGCACAAGCTGTTAGCGTTTCTCCAGGTCTCAAATTTCTCCTTCTGACTATATTCATATTCAAAAAAATCTGCCTTTCTGTGCAAGTCACACTGTGTTTGGTGTTTTTATTATCATTTATCAAGGAAGAAGTCCTACCTGCAACCTGTGATCAGAGAAAATAAGAGTATCAAAGCCCTAAAACCTCACCAATTACAGTTACGACATGGATACAATAGAACTAGCCTCTTCAAATAGTCCACTCCACCCCTCCAGGAATTGCATGCCCCTCTTGTACCCATACTGCCTCAGAAACTAATTTGACTTCTGGGCACTGCAAAAGACATCTCCATCACTTTTACAAGTTTTTCTTAAGTCATCTTGCCCAGACTGAAGTGAGAGCACAATGGGGAAATTCTCAGAAGTCTGGCTCTAGAAGTCTGTACACATGGGAAGCAATAAATTATATCAGTGAAATCAGTCATTGTTAGATGAACTCATCCTCAGAAACAATTGGTGGCTCAGAAACAACCAAGGCATGTAAACTCCAGAATTTTCATAACCTAGATAAAGCTAATCACAGTTGCAGTCTTATCTTCACACTTAACAGTAAAGGAAATTATAATCAAATGTATTAAATCCTGCCTGAAAGATGTAATATCTGAAAGGTAGTAATCTGTATACAATCTTTTAAGTGAACATTAAGAAGCAAAAATATGGGCCGGCACTGTGGTATAACGGGTTAAGCCACCGCCTACAGTGCCAGCATCCCATATGGGCACCTGTTCAAGTCCCAACTGCTCCATGTCCGATCCAGCTCTCTGTTATGACCAGGGAAAGCAGTGGAGGATGGCCCCTGCACCCACATGGGAGATCAGGAAGAAGCTCCTGGCTCCTGGCTTTGCAGCAGCCATTTGGGAAGTGAACCAGTGAATAGAAGATCAATCTTTCTCTGACTCTCCCTCTCATACTCTAACTCTGCCTTTCAAATAAATCTTTAAAAAAAAAGAAAATGTACACTGTATAGAGAAAAGGGTAGCCTGATGTGTATGTGGAATGTTCTAGTCCCCTTCATAGATATCTGCCTTAGCACATAGAGAAGGGTATTCTATGCCTAGGATAAATATTACCCAAGTTTCTCTGATCTATGTTCCGTGTTATTAAGCAACCTTCAAATTCTGCTTAGAGGGGCCGACGCTGTGGCGTACCAGGTAAAGCTGTAGCCAGAAGTGCCGGCATCCCATATGGGTGCTGGCTCGAGTCCCAGCTGCTCCACTTAGATCCAACCCCCTGCTATGGCCTGGGAAAGCTGTAGAAGATGGCCCAAGTCCTTGGGCCCTGCACTCGCATGGGAGACCTGGAAGAAGCTCCTGGCTCCTGGATTTGGATTGGCACAGCTCCAGCCGTTGTGGCCAATTGGGGAATGAACCAGTGGATGGAACAACTCTCTCTCTCTCTCTCTCTCTCTCTCTCTCTCTGTCTTTCCTTCTCTCTGTATGTAACTCTCAAATAAATAGATAAATCTTTAAAAAAAATTTCTGATTAGTTTGGTTTCGGGTTATGGATCTCCTCTAGAGAGGTAACCTGAGAAATGTATTTATTTTACTTGATCAAAAATTAATACACAATAACAATTTGGAATACACCATCAGTTTCTGAAGTATACTGGCCTTTGAATGCAGTAAACAATGCAATTCCCATTGTGTGAGGCCTGTTAAACTGTTAAAAACAGCCAAAAACAAAAACTTCTTTAGTAAAACTGTAGTATCTCATTTTCCTTTTCTTAAGATTTATTTATTAGGCCGGTGCCGCGGCTCACTAGGCTAATCCTCCGCCTTGCGGCACCGGCACACCGGGTTCTAGTCCCGATCAGGGCGCCGGATTCTGTCCCGGTTGCCCCTCTTCCAGGCCAGCTCTCTGCTATGGCCCGGGAGTGCAGTGGAGGATGGCCCAAGTGCTTGGGCCCTGCACCCCATGGGAGACCAGGAGAAGCACCTGGCTCCTGCCATCAGATCAGCGCGGTGCGCCGGCCGTGGCGGCCATTGGAGGGTGAACCAACAGCAAAGGAAGACCTTTCTCTCTGTCTCTCTCTCTCACTGTCCACTCTGCCTGTCAAAAAATAAATAAATAAATAAAAAAGATTTATTTATTATTTGAACGAGTTACAGAGAGGGAGAGGCAGAGAGATCATCCACCTGCTGGTTTACTCCCTAGATGGCCACAATGGCCAGAGCTGGGCTAAGCTGAAACAAGGACCTTCATGCAGGTCTCCCACGTGGGTGCAGGGGCCCAAACACTTGGGCCATCTTCTGTTCTTTTCCCAGGCCATTAGCAGAGAGGTTGGAAGTGGAGCTGGAGTCACAGGTAGTGTCTTCACCCATTCTACAATGCCGCCCCTCATGCCTCATTTTTCTTTTTAAAGACTTTTTTTTTTTAAGATTTATTTATTTATTTGAAAGAATTATACAGAGCGAGGAGAGGCAGAGAGAGAAAGAGAGGGAGATCTTCCATCCGCTGGTTCACTCCCCAATTGGCTGCAATGGCTGGAGCTGTGTAATCCGAAGCCAGGAGCCAGGAGCTTCTTCCAGGTCTCCCAGGCAGGTGCAGGGGCCCAAGGACTTGGGCCATCTTCTACTGCTTTCCCAGGCCATAGCAGAGAGCTGGATCAGAAGAGGAACAGCCAGGATTTGAAGCAGCACACATATAGGATGCCAGCTCTTAGGGCCAGGCCATTAACCAGCTGTGCCATAGTGCTGGCCCCTA